GGGGGCCGTGGGGACAGCTGGGCCAGAGGGCCTGGCGCTGGCCTTGCTCTGCCGCCCAGTATTTGTGTGCCTTCCGGTCGGCGGCTCACCTCGCTTCTTTAGGGCTCAGTTTCTCGATTATTATTATTTTTTTAAATGGCACAAACTGGCCTGTTTTTTAAAATTCTTTTTTATTGATTTCAGAGAGGAAGGGAGAGGGGGAGAGAGAAACACCCATGGGAGAGAAGCCCTATGGGCCGCCTCCTGCACGCGCCCCGCCGGGGATGGAGCCCGCACCCCGGCCTGTGCCCCCACCGTGACCTCCGGGGTCACAGGTCCGCACTCAGCCCCTGAGCTGTCGGCCGGGCAGTTTCTCTATTTTTAAACAGGGATTTGCGGTCCCGTTTCTGGGGGGTCTCCCAATGGTGTGATGTAATCTTCCACCAAAAAAAAAACCACACAAAATAAACCACGTGAATTTAGGTGTCTAACAGAATCTTCACTCACATATGTTTCATACTTAGGAAGAAATACCTGGATTTTCCGTGTGTTCTCGTTGACTTGACGTCTGGGGGAAAATACAATGGCACCTTTTGACATTATTGGTCGATTCTTTGCTAACTCATGCAACGAGTAGCGCCCTGTCTGTTTTCATTTCAAAAGCTAGGCCGCCAGGGGCAGATGAATAGGAAATCCCCAAGCTCTGTTTCTATTATTTTTTTACAAATGACTGATTGGGACTGAGCCGTAAGCGCTCCATACGCTTTGAGGGCACTGAGGGTTAGTGTCCACGTGCCCTGTGTGTCCAGCTCGGGTTTTCCGTGAGCAGAGAGTGAGGCAAAGGCCCCTTCTCAGCTGGAGAGAGCTCAGCCTGCATCAGCTTGTGGAATCACTAATTAATTTCCAATCACAGGCTCTTCAGGGGAAAGGCAAACCATCGGCTGAAGAAAACCCAAATGACGCTGAAGTCCCGTCGTCCTCGGGAACCGACTCTGCCAAAGCCCAGGACAACGACGCCAACGAAGGTGCGTCCGATCGCCGGCACCTGATTAAAGGTTAAGGGCACCCAGTGGCCCTCGCTGGTCTGCTCAGTGGACAGTGTCGGCCTGGGACTGAGGGTCCCGGCTCCGGTCAAGGGCATGTACCCCAGTGGCCAAGCTCAGTCCCTAGTGGGGGGCCTGCAGGAGCAGCCAGTCAGTGATCCTCTCATCATTGATGGTGCTCTTTCTCCCTCTCCTTCCTCTCTGAAATCAATTTAGAAATGTGTGTGTGTGTATGTATATATATATATTTTTAAAGAGTACCTAATTTAGCAAAAACATTTTTCATTGCAGTGGCATTCTGTTGTCTGTTTCCTGGCTTATTGGGAGCATAGTGCCTATACTAGGTGCTCAATAAATACTGAGTTACTGAATATGGGTTATTTTTGTGGAGAAATGTTTCAAATTGACATCAGTGTTTGGGAGCCTTTTTAGATTTATTTTTTTAATTCTCATATAAAAGAAGTATGTCATGTTATTTTTCGTTTCTGAAATAATAATACTATTTTAATATGAAATAGTATTGCGCTCATGTTGGGGTCAGATAATTATTCTAAATGCACGTAAGTAACAACGCCTTTCACCCTCAGAGTAGCACTCTAAGGCAAGCGTTACTAACCCCTTTTTACAGTGCGGGACTCGAGGTGCATAGGACTTCAGTGCCCAGGGTTACACATCTAGTGATAGATGGAGAGGAAGTTTGACACCAGAAGCCTGGCTCTAGAAGCCTCACCTAGAACCACTATGCTATCTCACCTGGTTCTGTACCACCTGGTCCTGTCCCACCTGGTTCTGTCCCACATACATGGTCCTATCCCACCTGGTCCTATCCCACCTGCTTCTATCCCACCAGGCTTATTTAGTTCTTAGGTCTATGTCTTAAAATTCTTTTTCCCCCTCTCTGCTTTTAACTGTTACTGTGTACACTTCTGATTTCCCATTTAATTTTACTTAGGTGAGGCCCAAAGGATGAGTAGGCAATTCCTACAGAGCAAAGCACATGGCTTTATGACAGCTTTCTTTCCTGGGTTGTTTTTGGGGAGTGCTGATTTGTGTTATTTTTTTAATTTTTCTTTTTTTTGCTCTCAAGTTTGCTGGGATAGAAATTTGTCTTTCAAAAATACTGTTTTTTGGTTTTGCTTTCACTACTGAATGTTCTAAAGCTCCCGCCCCCCCCAATCTCAATGTGTCTTTCTTCAGGAGAAACATCAGATGGAGTTAGTAAGTCAGTTCACAAGGTCTTTGCTTTCATGCTTGGAGAGAATGAAGATGAGGAGGAAGAGGAAGAAGAAGAGGAGGAGGAGGAGGAGGAGGAAGAAACCCCTGTTTTTTGGTTTTGCTTTCACTACTGAATGTTCTAAAGCTCCCGCCCCCCCCAATCTCAATGTGTCTTTCTTCAGGAGAAACATCAGATGGAGTTAGTAAGTCAGTTCACAAGGTCTTTGCTTTCATGCTTGGAGAGAATGAAGATGAGGAGGAAGAGGAAGAAGAAGAGGAGGAGGAGGAGGAGGAAGAAGAAACCCCCGAGCAGCCCACTGCCGGCGATGTCTTTGTGTTGGAGATGGTGCTCAATCGTGAAACCAAGAAAATGATGAAAGTAAATTCTCACTTAATTTGGTAATAGAAACAATGTAGAAATGTGACATTGAAAAAGAATTCAAACTGTAAGAAAGGGAAAATCTATGAGGCAACTACTGTTACTGGTTTCTTGTGTTTCATTTAGAGATTTTTAAAATGTAAAACCTTAATGATTTCATGTGTTAAAGTGTACCATAGTTTTGCTATTAAAAGGTCCATGTTGATATTTTTTACAACTTCAATCTGAGTATACAGATTTGAAAGGAGGGTCTTTAGAATTGCATCATATAAGTCCCCTGGCATATACATTTATTTTGCAGCATCCAGCTCTCCATTTGTTACTTACTCTAGTAATATAAGTAATTCCTGATCACTTTGGTTTTGCTTTCTTTAAATATTTTACTGTGTTTTGAACTTTCTACTGTAGGGAATTTTGTTGTTTTTTGTTTTGTTTTAATTATTTGAGGTGCTTATTTTGGATAATAACATAGAAAAATTTCTTATTTTCTGCGATTGAATTTAGCCATTTGGTCCTTAGGTCTGAGTGTAGATTGAAACGTTTTAAAGAAGAATTTCGGTTTTGTTATGGTCTGTACTTATTAATGTGGTTGGAATGGAAACCGAAGACATGACTGTATTTTAACCAGAATGTCCTTTTCATTCTGTGCAGGAGAAGAGGCCTCGGAGCAAACTTCCCAGAGCTCTGAGAGGGCTCATGGGTGAAGCCAACATCCGCTTCGCTCGGGGAGAACATGAAGAGGCGATTTTGATGTGCATGGAAATCATCAGACAAGGTGCTTCCTTGGGGATTGCTGACAGTGCAGTTTTCCTTAGCAAAGGGGGGTTTTCATGAGGGGAGCCTGGTGAGAGTTAGGGGTGTTCATGAAACTACACTTTGCTTAGAGAAGAGAATGCTTGAAAAATGCCAAAGTGTGAAAATATAATAAAGCAGATATAATCTAGTGTTTATTCTAAATTCCATGAAGTAGTTTATATAATTCCAATAGAGTTATTTAAATAGTTTCTATATTAGAAGAAGTATCCATACATAATTTGATGTCAGCTCAAGCCTCTTCCCTCAGCCAATGGAATGTTTTCTTTTTAATTCATTATAGCTCCCCTGGCTTATGAGCCATTCTCTACTCTGGCCATGATATATGAGGACCAAGGTGACATGGAGAAATCACTGCAGTTTGAGTTGATTGCTGCACATTTAAATCCTAGTGACACTGAAGAATGGGTTAGATTGGCAGAAATGTCTCTGGAACAAGACAATATTAAGCAGGCAATTTTTTGCTACACAAAAGGTAATTAAAATGTTTTCTCATTTTTTATAAAATGTTACATAATGGATTTCCTGATAATTGTGCTTGCTATTTTGGGGTGATGTTAGTTGAAATGTATTTGCTAGTATTCCTTGTATTCTGTTATATCAGAGGTATTTGGGGTTCATCTGTTTTCATGTTTATCAGCAACTTTATATTATGAGCTAATTCTGCACAAGTTAGAACAAGAACAAAATGTTTATCTTCCCACCAAGATCAAGCTTGGTTCTATGCTGTTCCTTGAGGGCTCATGTCAGACTGGAGTGACCAGATGAAGGTTAATACGATTCAAGTTCAGTCTGGTCTTAGGTCAAACCTCGCTGAGAGTTCATGTAAAGGTAGATTTCTTCCCAAACAACCAGCTCAGTTACATAGGCGAATTAGTTTATTAAATTTTTCAAAGAGAAGATGGGTCACACCCAGGTACCATAACTCCATTTGAAGATTAATCTATCTTTTTTTCTCTTTAGCTCTTAAATATGAACCTACGAATGTTCGTTATCTGTGGGAGCGATCAAGCCTTTATGAGCAGATGGGAGATCATAAAATGGCAATGGATGGCTATAGGCGCATCTTAAACCTTTTGTCTCCATCTGATGGAGACCGGTTTATGCAGTTGGCTAGAGATATGGCAAAGTAAGTTGGAGTGAAATGTATATAAATGCTGTTATTAATCATCATTGTTTAGAAATCTACTTTTTATTGAGATTTTGCTTCTTGTATTTTCTAATCTGCTTACATGGAGAGGTATGTTGGGGTTTTTGGTGTGTTTTTTTCCCAATCCAACTGTGTGATTGTTTAGAAGAATGTGTATATACAGTTACCTTTCAAGTGCTCGGAAGGTTAAAAAGGAGCACGTTTTGAAAGGGTGACTAGGCTCCCAGCTTTCCATAACTTTTTTGAAGTTACATACATTTGCAGTAATATTTTTTTAAACTATTGCAGATGTGCTAATGAAATGTTTGTGATCTGGGATCTTCTGAATTGCTTTATCTTGAGCTAATAGAACATTTTAAGATGCAAAATTTTCTTTATAGTTAGCGTCTACTACTGACTTGGCATATATTTTATTCTAAAATATTATGCCCAACTGCATTTACTTCTCTGACATGCTGTACAGCAAAACAAAGCAGGAAACATTTTGGCTAAGTGATGCCTTGTGGTGTGCTTTCTATTCTAGAGACACCTATGATAGTATTTCAGTCTAGCATTAACCATCTTCATATGGGTATCTTAGGGTTAACCTGTTAATTCCACGGCCATTGTCATGCAGATGCTTACCTGTGAAGTCACCCCCTGTGCTCCCAAGGATGGATTATATAGGCATACCGGAAGCATTTTAGGAAATTGGTTAAGGCAAGGCACGACCCTAAATTGATCCTTGACGTATATGATGAGCATTGAGGCTCTTCCTAGGCATTTTGTTATTAATTAGATCTCTAGCTGTCACAAGTGCTCGCCCAGTAAGCTTCTGCTTTATGAATTACTAGTACATTTGTTTTCCTCTGTATATTTTATACTTTTCTTGGGACAGGGTGATGATGAACAGTTCTGCCGTTGCCTCAGAGGTCTTTGCTAAAGGGAAATCTTGTTACTATAACTTTTGATTTATGAAGCTTTCTCTCAGTCTCTACTTCCCTACCAGAAATATTTGTTGAATATAAATTACTCTGGGGGGGTCCCTCAGCCTAGCCTGTGCCCTCTCCCAGTCTGGGACCCCTCAAGGGATGTCCACCTGCTAGCTTAGGCCTGCTCCCCAGGGATCAGGCCCTAAGCTGGCAGTCAGACATCCCTCTGGCAGCCTGGGAGCCCTTGGGGGATGTCCACTTGCCAGCGGGGAGCAGGCCTAAGCTGCAGTCGGACATCCTTAGCACTGCTGAGGAGGCGGGAGAGGCTCCCGCCACCACCAACGTGCTGGCAGCCATCAGCCTGGCTTGTGGCTGAGCAGAGCTCCCCCTTTGGGAGCGCACTGACCACCAGGGGGCAGTTCCTGCATTGAGCGTCTGACCCCTGGTGGTCAATGTGTGTCATAGTGACCAATCATTCCCAGTCGTTCTGCTGTTAGGGTCAATTTGCATATTATCCTTTCATTATATAGGATAGAGGCCTGGTGCACAGGTGGGGGCCGGCTGGTTTGCCCTGAAGCGTGTCCTGGATCAGGGTGGGGGTCCCGCTTGGGTGCCTGGCCAACCTGGGTGAGGGGCTGAGGGCCGTTTTCAGGCTGGCCATGCCCCCCAGCTACCCAAGCTCTCAGCTTCTCCTTTTTTTCTTTTTCTTTCTTTTTTTTTTTTTTGGCGGGCTGGAAGCAGGTATCTGGGATTTATTTATCTTCTATAATTGAAACTTTGTAGCCTTGAGCGGAGCCCAGGTCTGGCCAGGGCAGGTGGGAAGCTTGGCTTCCTCCATCGCCGGGGGCAACCAGAGCCTCCTGCTCACTCCAGCTCCATGGCCGCCGCCATCTTAGTTGGGTTGATTTGCATTCTCACTCCTGATTGTCTGGTGGGCCTGGCTTGTGGGTGATGGAGTGATGATTAATTTGCATCTTTCTCTTTTATTAGTGTATTTTAGTGTAGATGTGTTAGGCACTGTGCAAGCACCAGGAGATCCAGTATTAAATGAGTTTTAACATTCCCTGCCCTTGTAGAGTTTACATTCTAGTTGGGGGACATAGGCAGTGATCAAATGAACAACTAACTATATGGTTTGTGAGGTGTTGATAAGTAATATGAAGAAAACCAAAGCAGGGAAGGGGATAGGAAGTTGAGGAATAGGAGTGTGTCATTTTAATAGGGTGATTGGAGGAGGATTCATTTCCTATGTTACGGTCTCACTGACCTGAGAGTGAGCTGAAGGTGGTATGGGAGCAGACGGTAGGGAAGAGTGTCACCGGCCAGGGAAATGGTGAGAAGAGAAGCAGTCGTCTTTAAAATCAGAATCAGAGCTGATGCAGAGAAAGATGTCCAGTGTCAGTGTAACATGTCAGGATTGCTGACCGGGCCGCTGGAGGCTAGTGGTCACTCATTTAGAATGAGTCCAGTCAGCATGGGCAGCTGGTGGTGGAGAGCAGGTACGTTTGGAGTAACAAGCAGGTATACTAATATTTGGAGTTTTATCATATGATTTTGATAAAGGGAGAGGAAGGGCGGAGTATTAAGGAGATGCGCAGGAAGTAATTATAGTGCTGGACCACTGAGAAGGAGGAGAGTGAGGACAGGAAGGTGCAGAGACTGTGAGGCAGGGTAGGACCAATGCTGTGTAGAGCCCCTGGAGGGAGAAGAGTTGGTGTTGGACTACAGAGGATGAGTGGATGATGTGGGAGCGGTGGGAGAGAGGTACTTGACATTGTTATGCTGACATTGGACATCTTTCTCTGAATCAGCTCTGATTTGATTTTAAAGATTGCTTCTCTTCTCAAATTTTAAGAAAATGAAAATCAGCTACAGGGCCTAAGCAAATAAATGAATTTTATAATCTATTCTTTTGTCATTTACCTTTTTAGGAGTTACTATGAAGCCAATG